TCCAATATGGTAGGAATTTGATTAAGAATGAAATTCTAGTAAAATAAGGAAAAATGCGGAAAAAGGAAAAATCGCGCCCAGAAATGAACCATGCGGTCGCATGGTTATAAAACATGCGGCCGCATGGTAATAAGAATTTTGGCCATTTGATTCTCGATATCATGCTGTGCGGCCGCATGGTTGCACTGCACACTTTCATCTTCGGCTGCTTGTAACGCATTGATTCATTTTGTTTCGGCCTTTGACCCGAACACGAAACTTGTCCCATTTTGAGTCCCGAACATGGTTCCATCAATAGTTTCTTGAACGAGTAATCACATCGTTTGTTTCACTTGCTTTGCCCTTGATCGCGTCATTGGTCCGCCATCGACTATCAACGGGTCTCGTCTCGCACTTGCCTTCGTCAGGCTCGACTCTTGGATCATATTATTCCCTCCCTCTTCAAAATGATTCGTCCTCGAATCTGAACCTGCATCAAACAGAGAGAGATCAGATACATTAAAAGTAGCCGAAACATTGTACTCACCAGGTAAATCCACTTTGTATGCATTGTCATTGATCCTCACGATGACTTGAAATGGTCCATCGCCTCGTGGTTGCAATTTTGACTTCCTCTGTTCTGGAAAACGCTCTTTTCTGAAATGCACTCAGACCCAATCTCCAGGCTCAAATGTAACGCGTCTTCTTCCTTTACTTGCTTTTGATGCAATCAGCTTTCCTTTCTCTTCGATCTGCATCCTGACCTTTTCATGGAGTGTTTTCACTATCTCGGCTTTTCGTTTCCCATCCAAGTTACCTCGTTCATGCACAGGCAAATGAATTAAATCCATAGGTGTTAGTGGATTAAAACCATAAACAATTTCAAAAGGAAAAAACGAAGTAGTAGAATGTGTAGCTCGATTATATGCAAACTCTATAAACGGTAAACACTCTTCCCATGATTTCAGATTTTTATTGATTACTGTCCTAAGTAGTTGAGTCATAGTTCGATTAACTACCTCAGTTTGTCCATCTGTTTGTGGGTGACAAGTTGTAGAAAATAATAACTTAGTTCCTAACTTACTCCACAGAACACGCCAAAAATGACTTAAAAACTTCACGTCCCTATCAAACACTATACTTTTAGGTACTCCATGTAAACGTACTATTTCCCTAAAGAATAAGTCTGCAATATTAATAGCATCGTTAGTTTTATGACATGGTATGAAGTGCGCCATCTTACTAAACCTATCGACTACTACAAATATTGAATCCCGACCCTTTTTTTGTCCTAGGCAAACCTAACACAAGGTCCATAGATATGTCTACCCAAGGTTCACTAGGTACAGGCAAAGAAGTATACAAACCATGGGGTTGAACCTTAGACTTAGCCTTTTTACAAGTTATGCACTTTCCACATATGTGTTCTACGTCATGTCGCATTTTAGGCAAATAAAAATGTTTCCCTAATATGTCTAAAGTCTTTTGAACCCCGAAGTGTCCCATTAAACCACCCCCATGTGCTTCCCTTACCAATAATTCACGCAAAAAACAATTAGGAATGCACAATTTATTTTCTCTAAACAAATATCCTTCATGCCTATAGAATTTATCAAATGCACCTTTGTCACATGAAGCATAAATACTAGAAAAATCACAATCAGATTCATACATACCCTTAATATGTTCGAAACCAAGTGATTTAGTACTTAATGAATTTAAAAGCACGTACCTTTGAGACAACGCATCGGCAACTATATTTTCGTTACCTTGTTTGTACTTGATGACGTAGAGAAATGTCTCAATAAACTCCACCCATCTCACATGTCTTTTGTTCAACTTACCTTGACCTCGCAAATGCTTTAAAGATTCATGATTGGTGTGTATCACGAATTTCTTTGGCCATAAGTAGTGCTGCCAAGCCTCCAATGCTCGAACAAGTGAATATAGCTACTTGTCATATGTCGGATAATTCAATGCTGCCCCACTCAACTTTTCGCTAAAGTAAGCAATATGTCTCATTTCCTGCATTAACACTGCTCCTATACCTATTCCTGATGCATCACACTCAACCTCGAATGTTTTATCAAAATTTGGTAATGCCAAAACATGTGCTTTACATAGCTTAGCCTTAATTGTGTTAAATGCAATTTCTTGAGATTCTCCCCAATGAAAACCTACACTCTTGGTGCTAAAATCTCTTACAAATCGCCTATAAAAACTAGCCAATCCATGCAAACTCCTAACTTCAGTTATAATTTTAGGTGTTGGCCATTCCTTTATAGCTTTTATCTTTTCTTCATCGACTTCCACCCCATTAGCACTAACCACAAATCCTAGAAAAACAACTCTATCCATGCAAAATGTGCACTTTTTGAAATTAGCATACAGTTGTTCCTTTCGCAACACAACAAGCACACAATTTAAATGTTCTAAATACTCATCTGGGTTTTTGCTATAGACTAAGATGTCATCAAAATAAAATACAACAAATTTCCCAATAAAAGCACGCAAAATATGGTTCATTAAACGCATAAAAGTGCTCGGTGCATTAGTGAGTCCAAACGGCATAACTAACCATTCATACAACCCATACTTAGTCTTAAGCGTTGTTTTCCATTCATTACCCTCTCGCATGCGAATTTGATGATACCCACTCTTAAGATCAATCTTACTAAAAATGCAAGCACCATGCAACTCATCAAGCATATCATCTAGCCTAGGTATTGGGTGACGATACTTTACCGTGATATTATTGATAGCTCGACAATCCACGCACATTCTCCAAGTCCCGTCCTTCTTAGGCACCAGCAAGACAGGTACAGCACATGGACTCATGCTCTTCCTGACATAACCTTTACTCATCAACTCCTCCACTTGCTTTTGAAGCTCCTTCGTCTCTTCGGGATTGCTTCGATAAGTCGGTCGATTCGGTATGACAGCTCCGGGTACAAAGTCAATTTGGTGCTCGATGCCTCTGATTGGTGGCAATCCACTTGGCATCTCCTCAGGAAACACATCGTCGAACTCCTACAATAAAGATTTAACCAAACTAGGGAGGGATGTGTTAGAATCCTCAAAATTGAGGAGGGACTCCTTGTACACTAACAATATCATTTGCCTATTATCGCTCATAGCCTTTATCAACTCACTCTCTTTTGCATAGAAGTTGACCTTTGGCTTTTCTTTCCGCTCAACTGACTCTTTTTCTCTCCTCTCAACTGACTATTTTTCTCTCCGCTCATGTGGCTTCTCTCTCTTTTCTCCACTCTCAGCCACCTCACTATTTTCTCTCTTATTGATGGTTTCACTATTACCTCTCCTTTTTCCTGACTCTCTTATTCTCTCGTCTTTCTCACTTTTCAGCTTGATTTGATCTCCATACACTTGCGCCGGTGTTAATGGTGCAAGAGTAATAGTCTTCCCATCATTGACAAAGCTATAACGATTCCTATAACCATTATGTGTGACCCTTCTATCATATTGCCATTGTTAGGAAAATATGTAATTGGAAAATCTGTGACCAAGGACCAAATTGTCAAAATTGTAAAGTTAAGGACCAAATTGTCAATGTTCAATAGTTCAGGGACTAGAGTTACAATTAACTAAAGTTTATAGGCTAGGTCTAGGGTTGTGTGGGATGCCTCGAAGATGCAAGCGGCGCTTTGATTTCGCTAGAGTCTCGCCTTGACCTCGCTCGAGCCACAATTGCAGAACCAACTTCGCTAGACTCACGCTGAGCCATCGCTCGAGCGAAAGGTACGTCGCTCGAGGCTCGCCAGTACCTCGCTCGAGCGACCATGTTACCTAGCCAATTCTAATTTTAAACGCTCACGAATGTTTGACGCTCCACATTACCATATATCAACCTCTATATATACCAAACGTCCCATTCGTGTTCATTAACCCGAAAATTCACATTGAAAACACTTTGAATATTCTTTCAATTCCTTGGCAACCAAAAATCCAAATCATTCTCTCCAAGGATCAAAAGCCAAAGAAATCCTTCATTGTTCTCATACCAATCCTTGGCTTGTTGAGTAAAAACATCAAATCCATAAACCCCAAAACACCTGTCTCACAACTCCAATTAAACTTCCAGAAGATCATCAGTTTGAAGGTCCGGGAAGGATTTGCTTGAAGAGTTGGAGTGCGTGGCGATTCACGGGAGGTAGAAGTTATACAAGGCTGGGATTTAGCACGGATCTGCAAAATCCAGGAGGGTCTTGAGTTCATACAGCAAGGAGGTCAGAAAATTGAGAGTGTCAATGATGTCTGGTGTGCTGTAAGTTGGTTTCTACAATAGTGAATCTCTACTGGCTTGTGCCCGGAGTTTTTACCCAGTTGGGTTTCTCCGTCAACATGTTTATTGTGTTTTTACCGCTTTAATTTATTTACTTGTCAATGGTAATCTAACATAGGTAGATAAAGCACGTGAATTAATCTGGACAAATTATAATTTGTGTGACTTGTTGCATGAATTATTCAAAAAGTTTTTAATTCTGCAAGAACACCTATTCACCCCCCCTTTAGGTGTTAGTTGGGTCGAACGATAGGTTTTTCAAGTGGTATCAGAGCCTAATCTCGTCCTTCATCATTTGCAAAGAGGTCCGCCACCTCATCTCGAGTCCTGACCCATAGTTGTCTAGATGAGTCAATCACTGTCTGTACCTCCGTTTTTCGACGGAAGTAATTATGCATATTGGAAGGTTAGAATGCGTGCGTTCCTTAAGTCCTTAGATGAGCATGTTTGGATTAGCGTTTAAAATGGTTGGAAACCTCCATCTACTACCGTATCAGCTACCGTATCAGGAACAATTAACCTTACTGACATATCACTGTGGACTAAAGATGAATTAGCTGCATGTAATTGGAATAGTAAGGGAATTCATGCATTATTCATGGCTCTATCTCCATAAGAGTTTAGGAGAGTGTCTATATGCGAAACTGCTAAAGAGGTTTGGGACATTCTCGAAACTACACATGAGGGAACTAAGATAGTAAAGAACTCAAAATTGCAAATGCTAGCCTCTAGGTTTGAAGAAGTGAGGATGAAAGATGATGAAACCTTTGATGA